CACTGAAGACTGGAGTAATGATGCTGAAAATTCAGCTTTGCATCACATAAATATATCACATTTTTAAAAATATTCATAGAAAATAGCCATAATAATATTTTTACAATATTACTGTTTCAATTGTATTTTTGATCAAATAAATGAAGCCTTGGTGAGTATAATAGAGTTCTTTCAAAAACATAAAAAGAAAAAAAAATTACCAACCTCAAACTTTTGAACAATATATACTGTGTATACTAAAGAATACAAAATGATTATTGGTGTACAAACTATTTTTGCTCAGTAAATTTCACAATTAATTAGAAAGCAAGTAACATGCTGAATTAAACGTTTTTTAAGTAGAAACACTAAAATAGTATATTCTTATAAAAAGTACTCCAATAATCTTTGTTCATTTACAACTTTGAAAAATCATTTTAGTGTAGAATCAATAAGAATCCCAAATGTATTAGTCAGAAATGTTCTCTTTTCTTTTTTATCAAAGTATAATTTCAGGGAATGTACAGCATGGCTATGTGTATCTGAATCTGGCAGAAAAACATGTCTACATGGTTAGTCGATCTGTGTAATTACTGTAATGTACAACATCTGGAGCAAACACTGTCAGTTCATTTACTTTGCACTGGATGTGAGACAGTGATTCGCATCCTCTGTGAAACCCTCTTAGGTGGAAACAGGTTCCTCGTCTCCACATTTGTATTCCCATTTACGCAAATCACCCTCCTTGAAACAGAAGTATCTAGAGATCTTCATGTCCGGTTATCTGCCATGTTTCCTCTCTCCACCATGGCAACACCGTACACAGAGTGTTTTAATGAGAGAACTGTCTCGCCCAGGTTCATCATTCCTCCCAGGATACACGAGACAACATCTCGCACATAAGACAGACTTCCACTGGTGTTCCTGAGAGCGTTACGTTTGCCACTGGACGCAGTTTAGCCAGCGATGCTATCATACTTCATCAAGCAGCACAAAGCACTGGTCAGCAAAAAACAGCATCACAAAGGTAAGCTAATACAATGTGCACTACCAGGCAAAAGTTTGGACATTTTGGCCAAATTAGTTTCACATGCTCTAAAAAACAATTCAATGTAAAGGCTTAAACGCTTGAAATTAGTTTTGTACGAATACAAATTATGAATTTGCTCAT